GCAGAGGGACTTCGTTCCAGGAGCTGGAGGACCTGGCCTCAGGCCACATTTGGCCAGACCGGTGGAGCAGGTGGCAGTGGGGGCTGGTGGCCCAGTGTCCCTCCCACGCCCCCCCCCAGGTCCTCGTTCAGGAGTCTCCCCCCCACCCCCGCCCCAGCCTCTCACCAGCTCCCTGGTCAGGACCCCCACACCAGGCCCAGCCTCGCCGCATCCCCCCATCTCACTGCCTGCCTGCTGGCCTCCATCCTTCTTGACCGGCTCCTCAGTTGGTCCTGGGAGAGCTCAGGGCTATGGTCCTGCCCTTGCCCCTCCTGACCCTCCCAGGGCTGCCTCTGGGCCCCTTTGGGCAGGAATTTCTCCCTCCCACTGTCGTCTCGGGCCCTGGGCTCATATCAGCTGGGGTAGGTCACAGATCCAGGAGCTGGTTGAGAAGATGGCAAGGAAGGAAGGTGCTCTTGTCCCTTACCCCAGCTGGCCCCAGAGAAGGAAAGCCATGCCCCGGCTCATTTCCTGGCCCTTTGTTCTGCCAGGCTATGCGAAAACAAGCCTGGTAGGTCCTGGTGATGCCCACCTATCCAGCAAAGGAGGGGCTGGGCCAGGCCATGAGAGTAGCAGCCCTCTCCCCTCAGGTGCAGTCATGCCTGGGCATGGGGCAGTGGGCACAGGGACATAGCAGAGACCAGGCCTTGGTGCTGCAGAGGGGAGGGGCTCCCAACCACCAGAGAAACAGACTCAGGGGACTGGGGTCCAGGCCCAAGGAACAGCATCCCAAGGCTGGGAGGCAAAAAGGAGGCCCCTGCATCCCCCAAAAACCCCACCACCATCAGCGAGGTCGAAGGTGAAGGGCCTGAATTCGAAGGGCCTGAATTCGGTGCTTTGCTTTCGGCTGTGGGCCCTCCCATGCGCCCTGGGAGGTCAGTGAGCACCATTTGACCCTAATCACGTATCTAATGAGCGTGCTTTGGGCCACCAGCAATTTCAGGGCCTCGTATTTGTTTGGACTCAGAATTGCAGGGGAGCTGGGGCTAGTGTTGCCTGGGGCAGCTCTGCGTCACTCACATTTCTCTCCGCTATGCAACAGGCCAGAGCATTTCACAGGCAAAAGAGGCAGCTTGGCCGTAATAGCTGTCTGTGTCATGATCACAGTGTCTATCTTTCCCTGCCCAAGGGTGTCTGAGCTTCCTGGGAAGTTCACGCCACCTTCCTGTTGTTTATCATTGGCTCAGGCCAGCCTGGCTGCCTCCTCCCTGCCCTTACCACCCCCACGGCGCCCGGCCCGGCCCCCCATCTCACAGTCTCGGACCCTTGTGTTTATAACGCAGTGTCTAGCTTGCTCTCACCTGATTGTCCTTTATCTTACGTCCTTCATTTGTTTTTTGCGGCCTGGAGCTGTGTTGTGTCACTCACTTGTGAGCAGACAGGAGGGATGGCCATGAGTGGGAGCCTGTCCCTAGAAGCTTCCATCACAAGCGCCCCAGTTTCTGTGTTATTCATGTGTGTCTACTTTAAGAAATTAACTTCCAATTCTCCTCGCTGACAGATGAGAGAGGTTTTGTGTTTCTTTCTTTCTTTGGCTGTGTCACATGGCTTATGGGATCTTAGTTCCCTGACCAGGGGTCGAACCCAGGCCCTAGCAGTGAAAGCGCCGACTCCTAACCACTGGACCTCCAGGGAATTCCCTGTTTCTTAATTCTTCACCCTTTGCCCTCCAGACCCTCCACTGATGACACATCTTGCTTCCCCTTCCCCCTCGCCCCCATGCCTGCTTGTCTGCTGTGTCCTGTCTCTGTTCTTCCAGGAGACTTGTGCTGAGTTAGGAGCTCTGATCCTCAGTGGGCAGTGAGCCCCCTGTATCCCCCATCCTCCAGCCCATTTGAAGCGCAGGACGGTCGGGGTGTTTGTGGACATGGACAAACCTTTTAAGCCTCAGGAGGCCTGGGACTCCTCCTGAGAGGACTTATAAGGCTTGACCATGTCCCAAAGGCCCTGACTCTCCTGGGTTAACCCTCTGCTTCCCTCCTGCCCACACGCCCTCTGTATGATGACCATGCCATCAGGTAGCCCTGCCCGCCTCTGGGCATGACTTCCAGGCTCCCAGGCCCAGTGGCATCACCTTCTCACCTTCCTGCTGCCCAGGTCCGGGGTCAGGTGGAACTCCTGCTCTGGCTGTGTCTACCTGCCTCCATGGCCTGGCCCTGGGTCCCTCTCCTGCCTGCCTCTGGCCACACCGGCCGTTCTCTGCCAGGAACATGCCTTCCTCCTCCTTTAGGACATCCCTCTGCCCCGGGCTCTGTCTCCTGAAGCCACTTCTCTGGGCTCCCCCACGTCCCCTCTCAGTGTTGTCCCTCCCACGTGGGCCCCGGAACTGTGTGTGAGGCCTGGTGGCCCCGCCTTTCTGCCTGGAGCCCCGGACTTGGTGCGGTGCCTGCCCCTCGATGATTCAAGGGGAAGCAAAGAAAGTGAGGCACTCAGCACTGTAGGGCGCCAATCGACTGTATTCTTGCCAACCCTCACGTCTCTCCCCAGAATGAAGACCAGCGACCCAGCAGCAGCCCCCCAGGATGCTCTGGGCATGGCCTCGGGAACCCCACAGCAGAGCAGCCAGAAGGCAGAGGAGAGCCCCAGCTTCCTGGACGAGCTCCTCCGCGACTTCCCAGCCCCGCTGGGCCCAGAGAGCCCTTTGCCATGGAAGGTCCCAGGGACGATGCTGAGCCAGGAGGAGGTGGAAGGCGAGCTGGCTGAGCTGGCCATGGGCTTCCTGGGCAGCAGGTGAGCGGTGTGGGTGCCGGGACAGGGGCCCAGGATGGAAGGGGGAGGGGAGCACAGGGCACGACCCTGACCCCGGCTGCCTCCACCCCCTGCCTTCCGCTCCTGCTGACTACGTTCTGTGCAGAACTCCCCTGCCAGCCCTGTGGGTTTCCCAGGGCGGCCACCGCCAAGCGCCACAGACCACGCAGCTTAGAGCAACAGAAGTGCCCCGTCTCATTGTCCTGGGGGCCGGAAGGCAGGGCCGCTCCAGGCCTTCCTCTTAGCTTCTGGTGTCACCTGGTCCTGAGTGTGCCCTGACCTGTAGACACATCACTCCAGACTGACTGTTGTTGTCACCAGGTGTCCTCCTTGTCTGTTTGTGTCTCTCGTCTTCTTGTAAAGACACCAGTCCTGTTGGACTAGGGGCCCTGCTCCTGTGTGATCTCATCTTATACCTGCCAAGACCCTAACCCCAAACAAGGTCACGTCCTGAGCCACTGGATTAGGACTTCAGCAGACCTTTCCAGGGGACACAGTTCAACCCCTGATGGGTGCTAGCAGTAGGTCCCATTTCTATCCTGTCTTGCAGTCAGGGAGGCAGAGGCTAAGAGACTGGCCTGAGGCCTGGCAGTCCCCTGGCCACCAAGACCTGAGAGGTGGTGGCACTGTCCCCGTTTCACAGGCTGTGAAGACAAGGTTCAGAGAGGGACACGACCAGCTTGGCAGGTGTTGGGGGAGACGTGCGCCACCAGCAGCCACAAGGGAGGCTCATGGGTGAGGGCTGGTGGGTCACTCATCCCCTGTGAACCTCATCCCTCCCCAGGGGCTGCACCCACCAGCCCTAGTCACTGGGTTACCCCTTGTGCTGGGACACACCCCGGTCTCTGCGGTGGCGTTCCATGTCCCCAAGTGCTCTTTCTTCGTGGCAGGTCAGCCCCACCCTCTCGCACCCCCGGGGCACCGCTTGGTGGGACCCGAGGCTCCATAACAGTCAGAGATAGGAACGTAAAGGCTGCGGGCCCACTCCAGGGCCGCATCCATGGAGCTCGGGGGAAATGCCGGTGACCTGTCCCTCGGTGTGGTGTGTGCAGAGGGCGATGCGGGCTGCTTTGTTTTGCTTTGGGAAAATATTTCAGAGGCAGGTGCCGTAAAGCAGATCAGTGGAGCCAAGCAGGCCTGGGGCCTGACGAGGCCACGCTGGCGGTCTGGGTGCTGGATGTGGGAGAGACAAGGGGCTGGGAGTGTAGAGGAGGGAGGGCCTGGCACCCACCAGACACCACAGTGGCACTTGGGGAACAGAAGGAACATTGAGGGGCCCTGAATCCCCAGCAGCCACTGGACACAGGGCTGGTGCCCCTGCCAGGCATGAGGAGGGCGAGAGGACCTTCTTGCGGGTAGGGCCTTGGGGGGTGAGTTTAGTTATGGGGGAGGGCAGGTGCCTCAAGTTTCCCCCTCAAGTAGGGGGAAACTCTCAAGGTGGAGCGGGGCCCCTCAAGGCCGAGCAGCGGGTAAGGCTGGGGCAGTGGGGAGAGCACCAGGCCCTGAGCACAGGGGGTGAATGAGCTCCTGTTAATTAGCAGATGACATAGCAGGTCTGAGACCATCGGTGATCGGCGAGAGGCCAGGGTTCACAGCCCCAGAGCCTGAGGCTGTCAGGGGTGGTGCAGGTGGGCTCCCATGGCCCCTATAGGCCCCCCATGAATCCATCTTGAAGGATTTTTTTTTTTCTTTTGGTTCTGCCGCACAGCTTGCGGGATCTTAGTTCCCTGACCAGGAATCGAACCTGGGCCCTTGGCAGTGCAAGCGCAGTCTTAACTAGCCACGGAATTCCCAACCTTGAAGGAATTTTAAAGTCTCATATTTTCCAGCCATTTTAATGGATTTATTTTTGTCCTTCCCTAGTATTTCTTTACTGTGTAGACACAGATGTCACACGTCTACACACGTCTGGCGGTCGGGGCCCCTACCCACATGTCCCAGCAGCTCGTGTGCAGGCTCTTGGCTATCCAGGCCCGAGTGTGTTGGTCCGTGGGGTTTTTCGGGTTGTAAATAGAATCTTGCGTGAGACTGTCCAGGAGTCAGATCACGAGGTCGGGACTGCGGTGATTTACCTCCAGTCCTCCCCTTGTGGTCAGCGGTCACCTCTCAGGTCCCTAAGTGGTGCGTCCCTGACACTATAGCCACTGATGTGCATTTTCATTTCTGCTTCTAGACTGGAGGCTCCTTGGAAACCCCAAGGTGGCTAGATAAGATCGGTTCTTATTTCTTGGGTACCTGGTCCTGGTCTCCGAGGCATCGCTGTCATCTTTAGGGGCCTCAGGACACCGGGCAGGACCCCTGGATGAGATGGGAGGGCAGCCAGGAAGCCAGGCTGGGGCCCACATCCAGGCATTGTCCTCTCTCCATGGCCGGAAGCTGCCTCACTGCCCCCAGCGCCGGGAGCAGAGGTGCACTTCTCCCCGCCCTGAAAAAGGAAAGCCCAGAGGCTGGCAGGAAAGCCCAGAGGCTGGCAGGAAATCCCCACACGGCAGAGGAACACACTTCTCTTGCCTTGGCTGGTTGTTTTTCTTTTTTTTTTTTTTTAATTAATTAATTTATTTTTATTTTTGGCTGTTTTGGGTCTTTGTTGCTGCGCGCGGACTTTCTCTAGTTCCGGCTACTCTTCGTTGTGGTGCTGGGGCTTCTCATTGTGGTTGCTTCTCTTGTTGCAGAGCACGGGCTCTAGGCACGTGGGCTTCAGCAGTTGTGGCACGTGGGCTCAGTAGTTGTGGCTCGCAGGCTCTAGAGCACAGGCTTAGTAGTTGTGGCGCATGGGCTTAGTTGCTCTGCGGCATGTGGGATCTTCCCAGGCCAGGGCTCGAACCCGTGTCCCCTGCTTTGGCAGGTGGATTCTTAACCACTGTGCCACCGGGGAAGTCCATGGCTGGTTGTTTTTTAAAGGCAGGTCCAGAGGCTGCTCCCCTGAGTCACTATCTCATTTTAAAAAATGACAAATTCATCCCAGTAGATCCCTAAGGCCATCTGTAGACACACACTGGGACGCCCAGAGGGATGTGCCCACCCACCTGGCCCAGACTTCGGGGACAGGTCAGGATGCAGGATGAGTCCTAGAGGCTGCAGGGACAGCTGGGGGATGGAGCCACCCCTTATACTCGGGGAGCCAGGGGCCTTTGTGGCTGGAGCGGGCCCCCGAGGCTGGGGGCTAGGCGGGCAGGCCCTGGAGCCTGTGGAAAGAATTTCCTATAGTGCTTCCCACTGGCCTTGGTCTCTCCACCCCCCGACCTCCTGGAGCTGCCTAGTGTCCCTCTTGTCCCGTACTGTACTGGAGGCTTCCATCCCCCTTGTTTGCTTTCCCACTCCTGCCTGCGCTGACCCTCAGCTCTGCTCTGCGCAGCCTGTCTGACCTTGGTAGCAGCCAGCGAGGTCTTGCTTCCCAGACTCTGCCCCAGGTGGCACCCCTGGGGTCACCCCACTTCTCCAGCTGCTCCGGCCGCTCTCTGCCCCACCCCTTTCATCCACCCAGACCACATACCCACTGGCCACAGGCCTCTTGACCTCAGTGGAACCTGAGACTCACTGTGGACCCGCCCAGTCCCCTGCCCAATGCCTGCTCTGTCCCCTCCCATCCACTGCCAGGCCCACCCTCCAAGATGAGGCCAGGAAGTCTGAAAAAGCCCAATTGCAAGACAGGAATAAAGACGGAGACCTACTAGAGAATGGACTTGAGGACACGGGGAGAGGGAAGGCTAAGCTGGGACAAAGTGAGACAGTGGCATGGACATATATACACTACCAAATGTAAAATAGATAGCTAGTGGGAAGCAGCCGCATAGCACAGGGAGATCAGCTCTGTGCTTTGTGACCACCTAGAGGGGTGGGAGGGAGGGTGGGAGGGAGGGAGACGCAAGAGGGAAGAGATGGAGATATATGTATATGTATAGCTGATTCAGTTTGTTATAAAGCAGAAGCTGACACACCATTGTAAAGCAATTATACTCCACTAAAGATGTTAAAATTGCAGTGTATGTAAAGTGCAGTAAAGCAAAGCACAATAATCAAAGTGCAAAAAAATTATATAAAATTTAAAAATAAAAATTAAAAAGGCCAATTGGATTATATCATGTCTCTCTTCAAGCCACACCAAGGTCATGCTGCCTCCCCAGGTTCCCCTTCACCAGCTGTCCCAACAGCCTGCCTTGCCCAGGGATGCCCTGGGCTGCACACAGCCTGATCTTCCAGACACTGCCCATGGGTCCCACGTTCCCTGGATTCCTTTCCTGGGGCGTACGTGACAAAGCGCTGGGCAGCTTAAATAACAGAACCGTATTGTCTCAGGATTCTGGAGGCTAGAGGTCCCAGAGCAGGATGTCGGCTGGGCTGGTCCCTCTGGCGGTTGCTGGCGGTCCTCGGCTATAGGCTCAGCTCACCAGTCTTTACCTTCACAGAGCATCTCCCTGTGGGTCTCTGTCTGAATTTCCCCTTTCGATAAGGACACCAGCATTACTGCATTAGGGGCCCAGCCTACTCCAGTGGGACCTCATTTTAACTCACTGTATCTGCAGCGACCCCATTTCCAAGTAAGGTCACATTCTGAAGCACTGGGGGTTAGTGCTGTAATATACACATTTTGGGAGACACAGTTCAACTTATAGGACTCCCCAACCCCCAAGGGTCCCCAGCTGGTATTGGGGACCAGGAGCTGGTATAAATAAGGCTGGACGTCGGGCAGTTTGGCCTGGCCACTGTGACCAGCAGAGAGGCAGCTCGCACATCTGTGACTCCCCGTCCCCACTAGCCCCAGTGAGGGCCCCATAAATGGTACTGCGTGGATGGCCGTCCAGCTGCACGAGGACCAGAGGCCGACCTGCCTGTCGTGGGTGCACGTGGAGTGTGAGTGGTCACCGCTACCTCTGGGAGGGCCTCCAGGAGCAGAAAGGGGCTGGGGGTCTCTGCCTGGAGTGTGGGGCAGGCTCTGGGGTGCTGGCTCCTGCTGAGGAGCCAGCCCCTCACTCCAGGTTCATGCCCCCAGGAGTGCTCCGCCACCACTTGCTGCCTGCCTGGCCCACGAGGCAGTTTCCCAGCTGCTGCAGATGGACCTTTCTGAGTTCAGGAAGTTGCCGGAGCAGGAGGAAGAGGAGGCCCCTGTGACCCGTGAGTCTCCCTCTTGGGGCCCTGGGCTTATTGGGCAACATTCTCCAGCCAGATGGGGGCCAGGCTGCAGGGGAGTGTCAGGGCTCACCTGGCCCCCCTTTCCTTTCCCGTTTTTCTGGCAGACAGGGAGGTTGTGGGCAGCGCTGGGCTCATGTGCTTACGACAGGGTGTCAGAGACCAGACACGGGGAGAGACCTCCCCAGCGTGGAGCCAGCGGGGTGAGCGCCGCAGCCCGGGAGACAAACAGCCCTGTCCTGGGTCACACAGGAGGAGCCCGAGGTGCCAACAGGCCTCA